GGAGGGCGCTAGCTTGTTTTCCGCTGCTCCAGAGGATAGGACAAGGGGCAATGGATGCAAGCTACAGGAAAAGAGATTCCACCTCAACATTAGGAAGAGCCCCGTGACAGTAAGAGCTGTTTGACAGTGCAAAACATTCCTTCAGAGAGTGGTGGAGTCTCCTTCTTTGGAGGTTCTTAAATGGAGGCTGGATGGCCATCTGTTGGGGATGATTTGACTGTGAGTTCCTGCATGGCAGGGGGTTGGACTGGATGTTCCTTGTGGTCTTTTCCAACTCTATGATTCTATGATTTGCACTACAGTTATATCAGTTTGATAAACTTCTAACTGTCATGGCTCTTTCTTAAGGAATCCTAGGATTTGTAGTTTGTTGGAGTACTTTTAAATCTTCTCCTGCACTTCAGGGGAGTGTTCTTGAGTTCTCTAGCAGAGAATTATATAGATATCACCAAATTACAAGTCCTAGGATTCTTTGGGACAGAACCACAACCATTGAACAAGTATCAAATTGATATAACTGTGTAGCACAAATACACCCATTTACCTAAATCTCTTGTATTCTTAAAATAACTATTTTAAGTTATTGTTTCTATTTTTGTCTATCAGCTACCTTGAGTGTAGGGTCTTAAGGCCAAACCATCAGAGGTATGGATGTCAATTAAATAAATAATTGCATATTATTTGTTTTCCTCCTTCAAGCCAAATACATCAATTCCTGCCCCCAATCCCAGAATTACAGCTACACCATCACTACCTGTCAACCTACCTGCCGATCGCTGAGTGAACCTGATGTCACCTGTAATGTCAAATTTGTCCCAGTTGATGGATGCACATGCCAAAGTGGCACCTACTTGGATGATTCTGGAAAGTGTGTGCCTGCTAACAAATGCCCCTGTTATTACAAAGGAAATCCTATACTCACTGGTGAAGTTCTCCATGATCTTGGTGCTGTATGGTAAGAAAAACCACATCATAGTCTAAACATCATTATTTAAATATATCATGCATCATATTAGGCCTTAAAATACAGGTAGGTCTCATTTTGCATCAGGGTTATGTTCCTGGTACATGTGATATAAGTTGAGACTAATGTAAATGGGGGAAGCCAGTTCCACAGGGAATCAATAGAAAGTAGGGGGATGTGTTCCAGTAGAGCTGGAAGTAGCCACAGAGTTAGTGAAACATCAGAGCTTGTCCTAGAGAAATTGTGAAGATACTCTTCAAAGGGACTAGAAGAGGCAGAAACTGCTGATTTCAAGACAGTTTGGCTAGGATAAACTGGCTTGCCATTAGACAATACTGTCCAGCGGGCCCTTGGTTTGGTTCTAGGACCCCATTTGGATACCAAAATCTGTGGATGCTCAAATACTATAAAATACAATGACATAGTAAAATGGTATCCATTATATAAAATGGCAAAAACAAGCTTTGCTTTTTGAGATAGATAGATAGACAGACAGACAGATAGAATATTTTCAAACTGTGGATGGTTGAATCTTTAGATAAAGAATCCGTGGAAATGGAGGGCAGACTGTAGTTTTTGTTTTAGCGGAGCACACAGACAGAGAGCAACTGGTAAAACCTGTGCTCTGCTGTGCCTTCTCCACCAAGGTTACCATGTTGAGAAGGTACATCAAGAGAGAAAGATGCAGCACATCAATACACTTTTGCTGCATTTAAAAGGGGGAGGGGAGATCCTTAGACAAAATGCCAATGATTCCTCCCTTCTCAATCAGTCCTCAATGATAAGCAAGCCACAAAGTTCTTTCCCATTTTTACTGCATTGCAGTTAGTAGAATACACCTTTTGGCACTTTTATTGTTATTCACTTGCTTTCTCCCCACTATGACTCCCCTATCTAAGCAGGCACAGGAAATCTTACTTTCAAGCCACACCAAAAATCCTAGATTCAAATTTCTTCCTCCTTATCACATATCCCTTTCTAAGCAGGCAAAGGAAACCCTTTCCTTCTGGGAACACCAAGGGCTCATTCCCAATTACACTGGGTTTGTGATTCACTTTCACTCCAGGTTGGTGAATCAATTCCACTCAATGCGTGGTCCCACTATGGAAGTGGGTCTTTTCTTTGTTTGCTTCTTTTTTGGCATGATTGCCATTCCCACTAGTTTGTGCCCCTTCAAAATACCTGTCAATAATCTACGCATCATCGGTGATGCAACCAGCAACACATTCAAGAAAACACATGGGTGCTGTGGCCAGAATCCCTTCACTAGTATCCCATCCCTCACTAGTTTGGGGGGAAATCCACTATTTCCCCCCCCTCCTACCCCAGGATCCAAAACATCCTCCATTCTGAGCTTGACTAGGAAGCATGTCCTCCAAGTCCTGCAGGGCTGGAAGGGTACCACCTCAACTCCCCATGTCCTCCAAGTCCCCTGGGATACATGCAGCCATGGCTGTCATATGGAGACTCTCCCCTGGGTAAGATGCTGCCCTCCCAGCCTTGCAGAACTTGGAGGACATGGGGAGTTGAGGTGGTGCCCTCCCAGCCTTACAGACTTGGAAGACATGCTTCCTAGTCAAACTCAGAACGGAGAGTGTTTTAGAATTCCTCCTGGACAGAAGGTTGGAATATAGGATGGGTCCTGGGAAAGGGAAAAGGAAAAATGGCAGATTTCCCCTAAAACTGGTGAGGGATGTATCATCTCTCTGCCACAGCAATCCCTCCCCTTCAGTTTGATGTGCTTCAGGTCCTTTGTTCCATTTGCTGAACATGCTTGCTAATTGCTTCTTTTCAAAAGAACCACCAAAAAACTAGTGTCAGAAAAAAGTGGTTCTTTTGCATTTGCTTCACTTCATCGTGATTGAAACCGAGTCAGTTTGGAAAAGGTTTCAAGTGGGAACAACAGAGGGCCTTTGCAGAC